AATCTCTTGTCTCTTTATCTATCATATACCTGCCTCTCTGTCCCTTTCATTTAATCAGCCATTGCCTGGGGTAGGGGTGGGCCACCCTCAAGCAAGGTCACTGGTTTGCTGGGAGAACTTACCAAAGGTGTTTACATTTCTGTGCATTACTGGGCTGGGAGCTTCTTGGGGGTAAGGACTGTGTATTTTTTTTTTTTAACTTTGTATTGCTGGTAAAGAATCTAGCACAGTGCCAATCAATATTTGTCAAATGCACAAATTTATTTCAAGAGCAGGCCTCCTGTCTCAATTTAGCTTGAACAACCCAGAATGTAAATATGTGCCAGTAATTTGGCATATTATTCATGTTCCAAGGAGTCAAAGGGAAACTTAAAATGAGAAACATTAACATGTAAATTAAAAGCACTTAAAATCATTTGATTTACTATCCTGATTCTAATCAACTTAGAAGTTGATTTGATGAAAATTGGTAGAAATCATGGCAGCAATTAGGCACTGAACTTGATAAAGAGTTATGCATTGGCCCCCTTCCCCACGAGGAGCAAGGAGTAGTACGTGCTATGGTATTTTGCTAGTGAACTGGTAGTGCTGCTCCCAAACAGAGGGGTTTCTTCACGTGGTGGGTATCAAGTCAATAGAAACAGCCAAGTTGGTTATAACAAGAGGGTTTTGTTACTTGGCACAAGTAATGAGCACACCAGGGGTAGTTCCCAAAGCAGTGTGTCCCTGGGCAAGGGAGTAGGGCTGGTTTTATAGTCTGAGGGTGATCTGACAGGATCTTTCAATGAGGTGATGCCAGGGTTCAATCTGATTGGGTCCTGAATTCTGCTATGGAGGTGTCTGCTTTTTAATTCAGTCCCTGCAGATAGGTTCCACCCGTGGTTGCAAGCTTGGTTCATCTGGGCATGCTCAGGTTACCAGACCTTTAACCCGGCAGTCCATGGCAACTGAAAAACAATTTACAACTTTGTTAACATAAAAGTTGAGCCAGATTGGTCTGATATGGTTGCAGTATATATGAATTGTGTCCATATCCATTTTCAAGAGTGAATTCTATGGAATACTTTTGAATTTATTTGTTTTCCAGTTATGATTGCCTGGGAGTCATACCATATGGCATGAAGTGGGAATTAATTATGTAGCATTTTTGATAGGTTCATTTATTCATACTGTACATTTTATTGAGCACCAACTTGGGCTCTAGGTGAATATTGCTCAATTAAATATAGTGCCTGCTCTCATGGAGCATGCTTTCTGATGAGGAAACACAGCATATATAAGTAAACCAAGAAATAAATGTCTCGCGGCAAATTGTGATATATGTTATGATGATGAAGGTGGACAGAATGTAGGGAGAGTTAGAGAGGTGGGAAGTGATCCCTACAGAGGGAACAGTATGTGCAAAGGCACTGAAGTACACTAGAGCTTGATGTGTTGATGTATTGAGAGGCTGAGTGCCAGCCAGTGTGCCTGGAACAAGGTCAGAAGAAGAAGTTGGTATTAACTGAGGTGAGACAGACCAGCAGGGTCCATGTCATCCAGGGCTTTGTGGGCAGATGGATTTGGATTTTGAATCACTGTGCAAAGACCATTCCAATTGATTTAAGCCTTTGACTTAATGCAATTTTTGGTCTGGAGGCATTGAATAAATAGAGCATCTTGCTAGATGCTCCTTAAGGTAAATATTAGAATTCTTAAGTTAGATCTATTTTTTTTTCCTGTGGGAACACAGTTTTATATGGCCACATATGATTATGAGAAGATAGGTTTTTTTTTTTATATTCAAGTTTCCAGGTAACATTTCCTTTAGTAATATATAGTAAATCAGAAAATGAAGCAAACCCAAGTTCTTTTCAGTTGTAAAGAAGGCAGCATGGATGCATAATTTCCTGTTCTCTTGTAGAGACTGTTGAGGGAAAACTTTCCATTTTCTGCATAAATTGTGAATGAGTCACTAACTGCTCTTTGTTCTAAAATATCTTTTTTAGGATGTTTGCATAGCAAACAGCCTTGAAGCAGGGACACTGTGTCTCCTTTTGTAGCAAAGGACAGGTTTGCTTATAGCCTTGACATATGGAGATAGTGTTTCAGAGCAAAGGGCAGGTAGGCTTACTACCCGTTATTAAAGATCGGGGCTCCTTACGCTCAGGGTTTCTCTCCTGAAATGAAGTCTACTGTGTATGCAAGCATCCTTCTGGGCCTACCTGCATCACTCCATGGGCAAGGGGAACTGACATAAACATACAGATGCTTACACCACATGCTGTGTGGTGAGTAATAAAGTCCGTTCTCTGACTCAGGTATCTTGTGTCTTGTGTCAGCATCCATAAAACCAACAGGCTAGCTTGTTAGCTTACAAGTGAATAAAATCTCAGACCCTTCACAGTTCCTGACAGAGACTCCTCAGCCATTTGAGCAGGCAGGTACAATGCCAGGCAGGTGATATCCTAATGTTCTGCAGCTTATAAGATATCCAATTAGCATTTTTTGTCACTGTTTTTCCTCACTAAAGTCACAAGATGGTCTATTCTCAATCACATCTTAAGTGTGACTTCTATTCTAAAATGCATGTGTGAAGCCTACTAGCTACTAATTATTATGCCTTGAATATTCGTAACCAAGTGGGAGAATATGTCAACAGAAAGAATGCTATGTTAAAATTTTAGGATCATCAAGGCATAAAATATATTAAAACGATAGCTCGATTTAACATTTATGATTTTGTGTGTGTGTGTGTGTGTGTGTGTCTGAAAAATGTAACCCAAGCACATTTCCATGAAAAATTCTTATATGATAACCACTAAGGGACTAACACTGGTTGGGTTCACAGAACCATTAGTATCACAATGCAGGGTTATCAAGGGCTTGGGCTCTCACTTCCTCCTGACTAGGGACTTGAGGAGTAAGCACTGCCACTGCTAACATGGGAGATTGCCAGGTTTTGCTCTGGCAGCCAGAGGAGACGTTCTGTATCTGCACTGTCCCATACAGCAGCTGCTAGTCACATGTGGCTGCTGAACACTTGAAATTTGGCTTGTTTGAATTGAGATGTATTCTAAGTGTAGATTATATACCAGAGTTCAGACTTGGGGCAGGAATGGAATGTAAAATATCTCACTAATAACCCTTAAAATTGATTATGTTTGAAATAATATTGTAGATAGGTTAAATAAAAATATTATTGAATTAATTTTTAATTTTACTTCTTTACTATTTATTTTTACTTCTTTCAATGTGACTACTAGAAAATTTGAATTACATAGGTAGCCCTCATTATATTTCTATTGAACAATATACTGTTCTAGATCTTTGCTATTTAAAGGGCAGTATTAGCATCATCTGGGAGCTTGTTAGAAGTGTAGAATCCCACACCCCACCTGACACATAAGGAATAAGAATTTGCATTTTAACAAAATCCCCCCATGTGATTTGTCTGCACTTTAATGGTTTGAGGAGCAGAGAGTCCCTAAGGCTAGGATTGCCTGATTTAGTAAATAAAAGTATAAGACACCCAGTTAAATTTAGTTTTCAAATAAACAATTTTTTAGTATAGCATGTCCCAAGTATTGAACACGACACACTTATATTAAAATTAGTTGTTGTTTTTCTGACATTTGAATTGGTATCAATTCAAGCTGGATAGCCTATATATAGTTTATCTGTCAACCTTACTAAGTCTAAACTTGTCCTGTCCAGACTTGTCTTCTTACTTGAAATTCCACAGCATCAGGAAAAGGACAGAGAGATAAAAGGAGAGAAGAATGGAAGATGGGAGAAATGAAACAACAGAGAGAAAAACCAGAAGTGTGAGGGACATTAGGAATAAGACTGGGCATGCAAAGGCCACATTTAAGGCCAGTGACCTTTTTTATTGTATGATTTTTATTCACCACTTTCTTCCTTATTCCTGCATTCCTCCACTTCCCCTAGTCATTGTGCTTATTGTCTTCTTCCCATTTTCTACGGGTTCCCAAAGGCGAGTTTGGGGAACATGGTGTGGTTGCAGAGTGGATGGTGGATGGTGAGAAGGGGAATCTCTCCGAGCCAAGTCAAACGTTCCTCTAATCCATCCTCTCCCTGAAATTTTACTTACAAATAGCCCTTTTTAGCTATCAGTACTTTATTTTTAAGAGATCAAATTTCCCAAGTGCCAAAAATGCTGACACTTTTCATTTTGGAGAATATTCTTTATTGTACCATTTTAGTTGTATTTTCTTAAAATGTAAAACAACTCATGGGGATTTTGTTGTTTGTTTTGTTTTTTTCAGGCTTTTTAGTGGAGGAAATGGGAGTATAGTCCTGCAAGAAAGGAATAACAATGAGTATATTTTATATAGCTGAACATTGAAGTAAGAAGAGGCTTTCATCTATGATCTCATTTAATCTTCATGACAATTCTTTAAGTACTTTTGCCCCCACCCTACTCGAGGAAACAAGGCTCAGGAGAGAAAATAACTTGCCTAGTGTCAGACAGCTCTTAGGGGCTGGAGCTGGGCACACTTGAAGGCTACAGCCTGGGCTCCCCACTATTCTCTGCAAATGGAGAGTCACAAATTCAACAGGAAACTGTGAACTAGGACATATATGTAAATTTAGGAAGTTTCAGAGATTGTTATTTATTCATTCACCTGAAAAATGCATGTAAAAATATATACTTCATAGACTTTGGGGAGAATTTAATAGCTTCCTGAAAAGCAATATGAAGAGTCTTACTAAGAGTTATATGACACTATCAAAACAATGCAAATTTCTAAAAAAAGTTTAACTGACAAATATATTTTCTCTAAAACTCTCCTCCCTAATAATCATTTAATGAGATAAATAATTAAAAATCTAAATATTGGTTTTACTCTATATATTAAGCAGTATCAGGCCCTTCCCCGCATCATCCCCTGATATTATACAGTCCAACAAAGCTGTGTTTTTATTGGTTGAATATGCTGTCAGTCACATGGCATGAAAAGTACTGCCTCTGCTCTGTTTGCATTATGAATTAACAGATGTGCTTGGTTTGAAGAAACGGATTCATTTCTTGATGGGAAGAAAAATCTTGTTTAGTTTTTCACTTATTTTTTTGTGTATGGGATTTTCACTAACTTTGGACCAGCTATTTTCCAGGAAGAATGTAAGGTGAGTAATTGCACATCTTTTAATGCAATGCATGTGTGAACTTCAGTGTAAGTATGAAATTAGGTGGCTCTGTGATTTCTTTATATTGTTGCATATGTACATTTGTTAATGATTCAAAATGGATAGGCTAGATCATACAGTTAGCTGCTAAAATTGTTGAGCTAGAATTTATACTTAAGAGATAAAAATAGAATCGTTATTACAAGAGGCAAGAGTTATTTGTCCAAAATATCCAAGAAACATTTGTATTATGTATCAAAGTATATATCTATAAGAAAATGAGTCCTCAAATCAGTGTTAAGGTTTCTTTTATATTTACAAGTAAATGTTAATTTCACAGTTTCTCCTGCCATTGTCATATGAGAAGAGTGTAAGAAGAAATTAAAACCTCAGAAATATATAACATGTCCCCCAAAGAAAAGATGTTCAATCACTTTAAGTAGTAGGAGATGGTAATTGCATGTGATACACAGTATTTAAAATTAACAAGCAAAATATCCATTTCTATTTCTGTTGTCCCTTTGGCTTCTTTCCATACCATACAAGGGAACATAGAGATTTATTGATAAAAAAGAATATTCAGAATCTGTATAGCAATTATTTGTGTCATGTCTTCCAATTAATTATTATGTGCCATCTCAATGAATGCATCAGGGAATTTGGGGTGAACACAAAGGACAGTAGCAAGCAGGATAATCTGGCAAAACTTGTGTTAAAGAATCCTTAAGTCACCAGCTGATGAAAGCTAGAAGTACAGGAATTTTTTTATTTTTCTCTCTCATTGTTTTCAAATCAATTGGTACTTTCCTTCAGGTTCACTTACAAATAGTAAGTGGTTTATATTCTGTAGGTGGTTAAAGCTCAGTAATATTTCCCCACCTGGGTTATACAGAAATGACTGATTTGTGTATTACACAGATGAAACATACACCAAGAATTATGACAAGCCAAATTCTGTTTTTAAGGCAAGGTTAATAGGTTTAAAGAATCTTAGCTTCAGAAGTTTCAGATCTTAGAAATCACACAAATCAACGATTATTTGAATCTAATGCTATGGCATGTTAATTCATTATGAAGGAAATAACAGTTGGTGTTTTGTGAATGTTCTTTCAAATCATGGATCTAAAATTAAAAATATCTTTCAATTCTATGGGGCTATTCAAGATTCTCAAGTCTCTAGGCAAGTTGGTTGTATTTTAAGCTGATACATGGTTCCATGGGGTTACCATTCTTCCTTTTCATGTTCCCTTCTCAAGTTGGGTTTATTTGTGAACGAAAAAAAAATCATGTATGACCTCAGATTATTCACTTTGATTTCAGAGTTTGTTCATTAATTTGTTAGTTCATTCATGCATGTAATACATTTGTAAAATACTTGGTACTTTTAAACAGCTGAGCATTGTGCTAAGTCTACAACAGGCATCGTCCCTGCTCTTGTGGACTAAGTCTAGCAGGGGGGTGCTCATTAATAAGTGATGTATATTATTACAAACAAACTTTGCAATGTACTGAGAAAGACAAGTATAGAAGGCAATTGAGGGATCTGAGCTAGTTGGAGATGTTAGGGACCATGTTCCTGAGGAAGTGATATTTGAACTGTGATCTGGAGAAAATGTAGAAAATAAGTGGGAGGATGGAGAACATTCCAGGTGGAGGGAACAGCCTGTTCTAAGACTCTTGTGAGGGAAGAAGAGACCATGAACCATTCAGGGAACTGAAGAATACTAGTGTGTCTGGAGCAGAGAGAAAAGGGAAGGGGTGAAATGAAGCTAGCACAGCTGTGGGCCATGGCGGGAATGTGGGCTTTGTCCTAAGTAGGATCATGAAGGGGCTTCATTGTCACATACACCTTCATGAAGGCATATGGCATCTGCTACTACAAAACTAAGGCTCTTGATTGCTTTTCAGGTAGTGCAGAGATCTCTTTTACTGGAAAAGGGTCTGAATATTTTAGTGACAAATGTAGGTTTAATTTTCTTAAACTGGCATTTCTCAGTTTACTCATGCAGATAATTTTTAACCAGAAACTTTTTTAGTTCCTACTTTAGTTCAGAGACTAGGTAGTGATGGAAAAATGTACATGTATTTTGTCTTTGGCTGAGATTATGGTTTTGTCTTTTTCTTTGGCTGAGATTATGGTTTCCTACAAAACCTCATTAGTTCAGGCTTGTGGGTGTGGTTAAGGCCTATCTGAATTATAGTCTGTTTAAAGAAGAAGTATACCAACATTATTGTATGTTCAGACCAGAGACTCACTAAAATGACAATGAGCCTGTGTTGTCTACTAGAAGCCTTTTATTAGTGAACACATGGGAATTTTTAATTAGTAAAGCAGTCTTGAGCCAAGTGTGTTAATGATAGCATAGCTCATTCATTAATTCATTCATTCATTTACTTTTATTCAATAAGCATTTATTAAGATTCCCTGCTAACTAGATATTTTCAAATGACTTGATAAATTTTTATCTTTTTTAAGGAAAATATATCTCATAATTTCTATGTTTTTGTTCAGTAAGACATTTAAAAATTAAATATGTTAGCCACGTATCACAAAATATGATTTTTTAATAAAGTTTAAATTAAAGAAATTTTAAAAATCTGTTTGTGCATGGTTATATTATTAGAAAGCTTGAAGCTCTTTGAGAAGCACTGTCTGGATATTTGTGCTTCTTTCATATACTGTATTAAGTTACATTTTGACTTGCACTACAGAGTTTGAAGTTTAGATAGGTGGAGATGTTTGGGCTAAAGGGTATCTTTACTTTGATGGGAAACTCACTTTTGCTACTCAGGAAATTAAATTTCTTAGTGCTCCTAGATTTGATTGAGCTCAGAGGACTGATTCATGCTAACTCCATTCACAAGAGACTTAATATAACCCAGAATGCTAATTTATAAATTTTTAAAGGAAGGTTTTTTTTAAAAAGACTCGATTAGAAAAATTTATCAAAGTAGCACGTATACATGATTTTAAAAATCAAAAGGTAACAAGATACATGTTGAATTTAAGAAAAAATTGTCTTTTAGTTACTTCTATGGGCAACTATTTTCAATGTTTCATTGTTTCTTCTGTTGCTTACTGCTTGTATTAGTCACCTTTTCTCTAGTAACAGTCTGCACATTGTAGAATCTTACAGCTTCCAATGTTCTTGCTTATGTTACACTTGACATTTACAGGTGGGTTGCCATGACCCAGCTCTAGCTTTGTTTCCAGGTCTTCTCATTTCAAGACCAAGACTGAAAGAGCACCCCTTATTTAAGCATGTCATTCTTACGACAGAGAGAGATGGCATACTCAACGCAGATACCTGCAACACTTCTGAAGAACTGCCACACTGTTGCTTCTGCTCCTATTCCATTGGCCCAACCAAGACACATAGCCAAGCTGGATGATGGGACAGGAAGTATTCTCCACCTACAGGGAGGCACTGCAAGTCATATGACCAAGTGGGAGGCAAAATCCTTTTATGGAGAAGGGAGCAAAGAGTTGGGAACAATCATACAAATCCAACATACTAACATAATATTTAAATATTATGCACAATTTCTCAATTTATACATTTTAGACCTTTTCTAACAATTTCCTATTATTATTGACAAAATTCCTGTCTTAACAATGTCCTCATGTTTCTTTCCTTCATCTTCCACCCATCCAAGATAGTTACCTGACAATTTTAAGTTCAATTAGTGCTTGCATCAGTGTGACTAAGTATATATTGTTTGCTGACAAGCCAGTTAGTAGACTATAATTGTTTCTTCTTTTATTTTTTTTTTTCTTTTTTGGTACAATTCTTTCCGTTTGTCTTGAGATAAATATGGCCTTTTTTCAGTTGCAATTTCAAAATGTGCATATTCCTAGTTCTTTTCACATGTTCCCTCATCTATAGGTACTGTAGTCTCTCAAATTCTCTTTTCACTCAGAAGTCTCCCTCTAGGTCTTTTCCTTTTTTCCTCTTGCTCTGATCTGTACTGATTCTCTCTAGGTCTGATATACAATGGTTATTCTCAGGTTTCTCTTGGTGGCTCTTCTAGTTAGATCCACTGTCTGTTAGATCTTGTGCTTTCTCTTTCTTAGTTTTCTCCCTTATTTTGTAGGAGCATGTCCTCCATTAGCTTCCTGTGAAATATGAGAGATACATTGTCTGAATCTTTGCTTGATTCTTGTTTTTTATTTCTGGAAGCTAATAGGATATTTTCTTTATCTTTGGCTCCAAAATGTTACAAGTACTTTAGCTCACAAAAATCAACTCAAAATGGATCACATACCTAAATGTAAATGCTTAAAATTTTAAACTTCTAGAAAAAACATAAAAGAAAATCTTTGTGCTCTTGTGTTAGGCGAATATTTCTTTTAGACACAAAAGCTTAGACTATAAGGGGAAAATAAATACATTGGACTTTATAAAAATTAAAATTTTTGATTTTTGAAAATCATCATTAAGAAAATAAAAATGGAAGATATAGAATGGAAGAAAATATTTTCAATGCGTATATCTGACACAGGACTTGTATCCAGAATGTACGGAGAAGTCTTACAACTCAATCACAAGAGGTCAATGAGTTTAATTTTAAAATTGAGGAAAAGATTTAAACACACACTTCACAAAAGTAAATATATAAATGATCAGTCAATAGGCACAAAAAAAGACATTCAATTTCATTACTTATCAGGGAAATGAAAATTAAAACCACAATAAGATAGCAACCCACAGCATTGGAATGGCTAAAATGGCTAAAATTAAGTGGATTGATGATACCCAATTTGAGCAAGAATGTTAAGCAACAGGAAAGCTTATGTACTGAAACTGATTGGTACTTTCAGGAAAAGTTACACACTTCTATTATATGACTTGGTCATTCTACTCCTGGGTATTTATTCAAGATGAACAAAAACACATTCTACACAAGCTCCTATAACTAATATTTTAAATCTTTATTTGTAGTAGCTTTGAACTAGAAGCACCCTAAATGTCTATCAATGTATGCATAGACAAATAAAATGTAGTATGTTCATACAATAAAATATTTCTTAGCAGTAAAATGGAATGAACTACTGATACATATGACAATATACATGAATTTAAAAATCATTACAATAAGACTGAAAGAAGTCAATAAAGAATGCATGTTATATGATTCTATTTATGTACAATTCTAGAAAATGCAAACTAGGAGAAAAAAAAAAGAAAATGCAAACTAATCTGAAGTGATGGAAAGCAAGTCTATAGTTACGTGTGACTGAGAGTGGAGAAAATATCTCTCCACTGCAAAAACAGGTGGGGAAACTTGTGGGTGTTGTATATATCCTATCTTTATTGTGGTGGTGGTATCATAGGTATGTGCTTCTGCCAAAACTCATAGTATTGTATAATTAGCATAAATGCAATTTACCGTACATAAATTTTACCTCAATAAAGTTGATAAAAATTAATGAATAATTGCATGCATGCATGAATTTATTAATAGCAACTAGTGGGCATTATAGTCGCCAATTTGTCATCTTCAGAAATTTTCATTAGATAATAGAGGCTGTATTACAAAGTGAATGGTGCATTTAATTTGTAATTGGTTCCATATAATTAATTCTAAAGCACTTTACTATGATATTGATTTAGTAACTCTTCAGCTACAATTATGTTTTGCATACATATCATGACATTTAATATATTTATCCAACTCTAAAAATGTTGAATTTATATGACGGTGATATATAGAGGCCTTGGATAGGAATTGTTAAGCATAGAGTTTCATTTACATTCTCATATACTACAGGTACAACTTATGTAAATCTTAAAATGTGCAATAAACAAACTTAAAATCTTTAGGATATTTATGACACAATTAGAGATTTAAATGCCAAAGAATATTTAATGTTAAATAATTATCAATATTTTCTAGATGTAATTGTGTTATTATTTTTGTAATTTGTCATATTTTCTTCAAAATTATATCATGAGGGAAGTAGGTGAGTTTATAAGTAACAAAAGATTGGTTATAACCTGATAATTACTAAAGCTGAATGATGAGTACAGACAAATAGGGAGGTTTATTATATTTTTCTATTTATATTTGTATATGTTTGAAATATTCCTTGATAAAAAGTGTGTATATCTTCTAACTTAGCAATTTCACTTCTAGGAATTTATCTTAAGGAACTTTTCATGGGTATAAACAAACAATCCACAATAATGGTCAATGCAGTATTGTTATAATGCCACAAAATTGGAAATAATTTAAACTCTTGAGAATTTAAAAATTTAATTCAGTACATTATGATACATTTTCATGATGTAATGCCATATGACATTCAAAAAATGTATCAGAAAAATATATAATAACTTGAGAAATATTTGTAATTATTTTTAAATTAAAAACAATTTGTGGGCTTCAAAACAGTATGTTCACAAAAATCTTAAATTTTATAAAAAGTAAATTTTATAAAATTTTATAAAAAGTAAAATTACATATGTGATGTGGTATGTATATGAATTTGTGTTTATGTGTGTATGGAGAAACTAGAAGGATGTGTATCGTAATTTATATCCTCATAATTTTCAGAGATATGTTTTTGGCCATTGAGTCTGTCTTATTTTTTTAGGGTTGGATATTTTGGCTTTAATATGTTAACAGTGCAATGTAGGGTAAAATTTCACTGTAAAATATTTTATTATACTTTATTATTTGGTTATTATTTACTGATTAAAGCTCTGTCTAGCATACTGCTCAGCACATAGTAGGCTCTTATACTATTCCATGAATAAGGATCAGGGTTGATTTAAAATAATTTTTCTTTTTTAAATTTTTTCTGTATTTTTCATATTTTCTTCAAAGAACATGTATTACTTTTTAAATCAGAAATTCACTATTAAAAATGGGCAGTTTTGACAGGCTAAGTAAGGTTCTGCTCCTCTCCTTTGAGATGTAATAAACTGAAATATACTTTTCAAAATTGCACGTAAAATCTGAACTGTAGATATTTGTTCAGCATCTTTTAATTTTTTGTTTTTTTTCCCCCTGATTTCAGTTCTCCAACATCTTCAAGTAAAGAAGTGGTTATAAAGAGTGGTAAGACTCATAATTGCCTCCATGATTCCACGGGGGGGATGGAAGAAGGGCTTTTTCTGTGGTAGACTTCTCTGACCAATGGTATTTGTACCAGGAGTCCCTCATGTGAAAATCCTTTAAATTAATGTATTCTAAATTATGAGCCCAAAGAGGTTCAAGCCTGTTCTGTTTCACAGTGCTTAGCATATTATTGTCACTCAATTATACTATATAACAAATTGATGCCATTTAGCTTTGGTACTCACATCATTATTTATTTGACAGATCAACAGAATAATGAAGATATGAAACCAATCCACAATTTTACAATACCAATCACACAGGTATGAATATGTCAGGAAACTAGATTTTAATCCACATGAAAAAAAATGTAAACATATTTCAATTATGTCAGAGCTACTGTGAAAATATATATATAATAATTAATATTAATTAGAATCTTGTTTAAAATTTTGGGGGGGTGTATTATGGAATCTTTTTGTTTGTTTGTTTTTGAGACAAGGGTCTTGTTTTGTTGCTGGGGCTAGAGTGCAGTGGCTCTATCACCTCACTGTAACATTGGTTCCTGGGCTTAAATGGTCCTCCAGACTCAGCCTCCCAAGTCCCTGGGACCACAGGTGCACACCACCATGCCTGGCTAATTTTTCTCATTTTTTGTAGAAAAGGGGTCTTGCTATCTTGCACAGGCTAGTCTTGAACTTTTGGTCTCAAGCAATCCTCTCACCTTGGCCTCCCAAAGTACTGGGATTATAGCAGTTAGCACATGGTCTATTGGAATCTTACAGTTGAGAAACACCTAAAATACTTAATTTTATTTGCTTTTCTATATTTTCATTAAGATATTCAGTTTTACTTTTGTTGCTTTCTGAATAGGATCACTGTAGTAACAGTTTATATTTGCTTAAAGGTAAGCCTGGGTTGCTGCTCTCTGTTAGCTAATTTTTCTTTTATCTGTATTTACACTGGAGTAACTGGTTCACTCTTTGTATTGTACGTTTTATGGGTTTTAATAAATGTATAATGATATGTATTTACCATTACAGGACATGAATTAGCTCTTTTATTTCTAGGAAGCCTTTTGTACCATAGATACAAATTCATTTCTACAATTTATTTTATTTGATTAATTAGGCTCTCAACTACAATCTGAGCAAAGAAGGACATTTAGAAAAAGAACCTTGGAATTCATTCAGCTATCATAGCCCAGTTAATGTCTCCATGGGTGGAATTCCCTGCATTCTCTTCTGGGCCAAAAGAATCACAGTTAAATTTAAGAATCAGACCTGGCTGGACCTTACAGATGAAGCATTTGGTCAGAAGGCAACAGTGGACACTAGCAACTCAAATTGCAGTGAAGAAAGTGCCTGGTAAGTTGATCTCTCTGCTTGAGGAAGCCCTTGGGGCTGTTGCAGTCTGTTACCTGTACAGATCTAGTATTTTTGTCATTTCAGAAAAAATAAGTGGGCTCCTTTGTATATGACCCTGACACACATCTTTGAGGAAGTGTTTACAATGTCTAAAATGAAAGTCAGAAATCTGACTTTTTGAAAATGAGGGTTCCCAAACTCATTCTCGAAAAGAGAAAAGAATTCCAGGCTTGGTCTCAACTCCAAATGTTAGGTGTCAATCTACTTTTGTCCCACCAGGGAAGAAATTACATATCCCAGCAGTGAGTGAAACACATATTCTAGTGGGTGAAACACAGCCAGGACAAATGTTTGACTCTAGAGGGGGTTTCTGAAATTGTGGAACACCCGTCTGTTTGCAAATGTGCAGGGGTACCTTTGAATGGGCAAATTTCAGAGAATTCTTTAGGACATTATAAAATAATTAGAATAATTATTGACATGAGCAAATTAAACAAATATCCCTTTCAAAGAGCAAATCAATTTCCAATGTCTTTCTCTGCTTTTCAGCCATCCAAGCAAATATTTTTGTTTTTATTTATTTTTGTCTGGAGGGAGGAAATCTGGCACTTGCTTTCTAAAAACCTTCTTTTCAATATTTGTTGGTATTAATATAATAGATGCTTTTGGAAGATTCTCTGCATTTGTTCTGGCCTGGTTTAGATGGGTAGGATGCTTTTATAAACCATAACATATTGTGTGTGTGTGTGTGTGTGTGTGTATTCTTTTTATATTTTATATACTTTGGCTGGAAACACCTTTTTATTCCTGAACTCCACTTCTCATTTAAAAATTCTTGACAATGGGTGAGAATGAATTCTATTAATATACACTTAAAAGTCATATTACAAGTCTTAGTAATCAGGGTACCACCGCTTTTTTGCTGGGCTTTAGAGACCTTAGTGATCACTGGGAATCCAGAGATGGAAAGAATGAAAACTTGGCTGCTAGGCTCAGTTCTGCCAGTGTGCTCTGTGACTTTATAGACAGGACCTGTAGGATCATCATCTATGGGGAGGAAATGATGGCATCTATTCGTTGTAGCTAACAGGCCTTCAGCGTTTGCCGCGGGCCAGGCTCTGTCTGTCTGTGCAAGGTCTTCACAGGTCCCATATCTGTTCCTCACAGCAACTCTCTGAGTCACAGGCACTTGTTCCAGATGTTCCAGGAAATCAAGGCTCAAAGAGGGTAGGAAACTTGCCAAAGTCACACAGTGTGATCAATAGTAGACATAGGGTCTAAAGTGTCTTTAATACCTCCTCCCTCTTGGCCCTATCTCATAGGGTTGTGAAAATCAAATGACGGTATGTACATGTAATGTCAAGTCTTCCTTCCTCACACACGAATGGTAACTACAGTGAAATGTGTCTAGTTATCTCAGTAAGCTTTGGTTTTCCCAGCACACAAATTAACAATTGGGCAGGACTTGGTCGCCGCCCTAGAATTCTACTTGGCTGAGAGACTTGAGGGTGCAGCATCCGCCTGCTGGGATCCTGCTCAGGTGAGTTGCAGGTGTCCTGGATGGACCTCCCAGAGAGGGGAGCTGCAGGCTCCCCAGGAATGTGAGGCGTTCAAGGACCAGCTGCTGAGACTCAGCGCCCTTGATTCCCATGAATCGCGCAGATCGGTGAGATGCGCTTGCTGTGCTGGCGAGGAAATCTCATGTTCTCAAGAACCAGAATGGGAGGTGCAGAAGAAACAAATCCAAGCAAAGACATAACCATGTAAGGTCAAAAGCACGGATTAAAAAAAGATGACCATGTTTTAGCTCTTGGAAACAAAATGTTCAGGGAGAGGCAAATTGTTGGCAGACTGATTTGCTACGGAAGTCTTTTTAAATAGTGAAAGCCCTGCAAATAGAGCATAATCCCAGCATCTGTGTATATTTTGAATTTAGGCAATCATAGCCTGAAGAATTCAGAATCCATTGTACACGTGTGAGAATGGGGTGCTTGATAGAGTAAAAAGAGGTCCTTTTCGAATACAGCATCCTATAGGTTTCATTCTCCTTTGTGTTCCCAATTGATGGTATAGTGCCTGGCACTTCAAAGATCCTCACTGAATGACTGTCAAGTTTGCTTTGTTGGAATCAGGCCTCATGTTCTTTACTCCAAAGCAGAGTATATTAACAAGCATCTACTGAAACCAGGACCAATGGAGAGAAGCTCTTTGGGGGGGTCAGAAGCTCCCTCCAGCCACTCCCACCTCTCCATATCACAATTGGTTTGCTTTCTATCATTACAGCTTAGTTTGCATGTCCTAAAATTTTATATAAATATAATCAGATCATGTGCATTCTCTTTTAGTCCGGCTTCTTTCACTTAGCATGATGATTTTGATAAGCTTCTATGTTATTGCATGTATCGGTGGTATGTTCCCTTTCATTGCTGAGTGGTATTCCATTGTGTGGGTGTACCACAACTTATTTATCCACTCCCTTGTTGATGGAAGTTTGCCTTTCCCTTCAATTTTGTATATCTTTCCAAATAAAGTCACTATGAACATTCATGTACAAGTCTTCATGGCAGCAGGTATTTTAATTTCTCTTAGGTGTTATTCCACCTAGAAGTAGAATGGCTGGATCATATGGTATGTGTGTTTTTAACTTTTGAAGAAACTGCCACATTGTTTTTTAAAGTGGTTGCACCATTTTCCCTTTCTGCCAGCATCATATGAGAGTTCCAGTTGCTTCATGTCCTCACTAATGCTTTGTATGGTAGATATGAGACGTAAAGAAAACATTTTTATGTTTCTGCATGTTTATTAACTTATGAATAAATTTTACTGGCACATGGGGTATAAGCTAAGCCTTGGAGATAGTAAGAGATTTGCCTCTTTGGAGAAATGAGTTTATATATGTCAAGGGACAATGAAACTCAGGATCACAGAGACATTCCCGGGGTTAGAAACCCAGAAGGTCTTATCTTCCCCTTGGAGACATTTATTTACAAACCGTAGATATTAGACCGGCAGCTATTCGTCTCCTTTGTGGTAGGCTATTTGCTCCAATCCAAGGGCCAATTAAACTCTTCTGATTACATTCTGGAGTAGGTGCCTTTGACTGTCCCTCTTCTCTCTTCTCTTTCCAAGGAGAATTCATTGACATTAAGGGAGCACATGTTTCTCTCTCTTTCTTAGGAGGTGAGAGGGGAACCACCATCCTTCTCCTATATCAACTCCTAGATTCATAATCTTGGTGTTCCTCATCTGTATTGCAAATCACAGCATGTGTAGGGTGACATCTGGCTCTTGCTGTGTTGCCTAGGGGAAGAATGGGGGTGAAAGGGGAACCAATGTGGTTATTCCTATGAGTAAGTAATAATTGATCTGTCTCTGCTCCAGAAAATCTTACGTTTACACTCAGGAAAATGTGAATAAATATAGTTATTAAAAGCTTAAGAGTCAGTTTAAAAAATATTTTAACTATTGTAATTATCCTACTATGCTATTTTATTGTGGTTTTATTTCACATTTTCCCAATGTTTAATGATATTGAGCATCTTTTCATGTACTTAGTGGCTATTCATATATTTTTCTTTATAAAGTGCTCAAGTCTTCTGATTTTTTTCTTTTCCTTTTTCTTTTTTTTTTTTTTTTTGAGACAGGGTCTCACTCTCTCACCTAGGCTAAAGTGCAGTGGTGTCATCATAGCTCACTGCAACTTTAAACTCCTTGACTCAAGCTGTCCTCCTGCCTTAGTCTCCCTAGTAGCTGGGACAATAGGCACGTGCCACTACACCAGCTTTTTTTTTAAAATATATTTTTGCAGAGACGGGATCACACTAGGTTGTCCAAGCCAATGTCCAATTCATGGCCTCAAATGATCCTCTCATTCTCCTGCCTTGGCCTCTCAAAGTATTAGAATTATAGACATGAGCCACTGTACTTGGCCACTTCTGACTATTTTTAAGTTGGATTGTCTTCTTACAGAGTTGTTAGTGTTACTTATTATATTCTGGATAAAGTCCTTTGTGTATATGTGTTATGAATATTTTCTCCTGTTCTGTGTCTTGCCTTTTTTTCCATTTTTTTTAAAGAGACAGGGTCTTGCTTTGTCACCCAGGCTGGAGTACTGTGGTGACAGATCACAGCTCATTATAACCTTGGCCTTGGCCTCCCAAAGTGCTGGGATTATATGTGTGAGTCATTGCACCCAGCCATTTTTTGTTTCCTTAACAATGTCTTCTAAAAAGTTTTGAATTTTAATAAAATTCAATTTATCAATCTTTTATGGTTCATATTTTTGCATTTTTTTCAATAAACCATAGCCTACCTCAAGATTATAGAAATGTTCTTCTATGTTTCTTCTATGTATTTTGTGGTTTTAGGTGTTAGGTCTATGATCCATGTTGAGGTGATTTTTGAGTATAATGTGAAGTATGGATCATTCCTATTTTCATGGACTATGTTTCTGTTTTGTAGGTTATCTCTGAAGTTTGGTGATGCTGAAAATCCCAAAGGGCTTGATATAAGGTAGGTAGGATACCACTTTGGAATCTCATCGTTTCAGCATTTCAGGTTAGCTCTATGTAATGTACTCATTCCACATGTGTGTATCAAGGGCTTGTGTGCCTAAGCACTGTGACACATCAAATGCCATATCTACGTAATTACACTGCACATCAGCAGTGTGATATGACAGGAGCCTTATAGAAATGCTCTTTTTAGTCTCTACCAAAGTACCTATAGTTCTCTTCTCCTCAGGGACTCAGAAAACTCACAAACCTCAAAATGTGATAATCTTTTTCTCTGTGCAAAAAATAAAATATAAATAAAGCACCAAGGGCTGGGCTCTGGTTTGAAATTGTTTTCTAGAGCTCCTTACAATGAATCACACTTACCGTTTAACTATAAAGAAGGCTCGGTTATCTGAATTCCCCAGCAGACAATCAACACAGGCCTACAGTTTTTTGTATTTTGGAAGAATGCATCTGCCAACAGTAGTTTTATCCAAGCAGTTAGGAACTGCTCCTGGGTTGGGGGCAATTTTTAGCCATTAATTTTTTTTCCTATAAAAGTATGGTGTTTCTCTTCCTATGGCCAGACCCTTTAGTGGGGATAAGTAGTTGTGCCTTTAACATTACTTGGAAAACCAGCAGGATGTTCTGGGGAAGTCTTTCCTAAGTTGTGCTCTGTGGAACACTTCTGCTCTGTGAAAATATTTATAAGATTCCACAGTAAAGAGATTCTGTGGTCACAGTGTTTGGGAATGTCTACAGACCATGTCTTCCTCTTGGAGATTCACAGTGTAAATTTGCATATGAAATGTTCTAAGAAGATGTGTTCTTAAGTCAGACTGTTGCTCTTTGGAACTTTGAGTAACCTAGTGTTTCCTATGTTGAACCTAGGAAAGTTTCTTCCTCACAATGCTTGTCCACATATCATGGGACACTAGTGTTTAATCAAATTTAGAAATACATGCCATCATCTTTCAGAGCAACCTTATAAGTAAATATAATCCCACAAAGTGACCAAACATGTGTATCTGTTTGATCGAGAAATGGGGAATATTTTGGATCCATAATAGCACTTTTTCCCAAATGGAAAATAGCTTTATTATGATGATTATTATTATTTCTGATGATAAAGGTATGTAGCAGAAACTGTAACTACCATGTCTATATCTACTTGGGCCTTTCCATTTGAGAGCACTAGTGCCCACTTACTTAACTTTTCAGCTGCTAGCCCCTGTTTGCCTAAACACTGTCTCGGGCCAAAGGGGCCCACTCCCTCCCATCTGCAGGCTGGCAGCCCTTGGCCAGTGACTGAAGGAAATGTATAAATACCTCATCGCCCTCTCCCTCAGGTGGGTAACTAGAGGCATGTGCTCTCCTCTGGCTCCCCCACTTGTCAACAGTGGAAACTTGCTTCAACATGTGCCCTTTCTGGCTACCTTCCCTTCCTGTCAGTTCTCTTCTGTCTACTCTCCATATTTTGAATGACTAAATCCCCCAAAATACTTCTTGGATTCACATCCTTGTCTCAGGGTCTGCTTCCAAGGGGGTGCAAACGAAAACAAGAAAAACTATTGAAAAAACAGATATATCAGGCAATATTGAGCTATAAAAGGGAGAAAATGAAAATCACTAATAATCCAAGCATTATTTGTAACCATTGTTAATGTTTTGATCTCTATCCTTCCAGACTTTTTTCCTGTGCGGTCACACATTTTTTAAAATGACAGTAAAATGATCGCGACATATGTACATTATAACTTTTTCATGGCTGGAGAACATTCCATTCCAAAATGGTTAAGAGTAAGGGCTCTGGTGTCAGATTGGATTGAAGCCCAGTTCCAACTACTCTGTGAGTGAGCTTGCACAGTTATTTAACCCCTTTGTGTCTGAGTTTCCTCGTCTGCGAAAAGAGGACAGTGATATTATCTATCTTAAGGTGTCGTCGTAGTGAAGATTAAATACAATTCGCATAAATAACAAAGGAGGGTACAAAGAAGCGTGACTGACACATAGTAAAAAAAACCTATTACTATTATTTTTAGCCACAATTTAGCTAGTTCTTGATTGACCTTTAAGTTCTTTTAAAATTTTTTTTGTAACGATAAACACTTAATCAAGTGTTGATTCTAAAAAAGAAAAAAAGCCAAGCGGTCTGTGTTGTTTATTTTTTAGAAATTTGTATTGCTCACTGTTGGGGGCTGCTCTTTCATTTGCTCCCCCCCCCCCCCACACACCCAGGGAAGGCTCTGGAACCACTGCGAAGCCTCTCCCCAAGCCAGTTCTGCCGCCTGTCAAAAGAGGGCGCCGTCGCACTGTTCACAGACGATGTCCCGAGTCAGTCAAAGTGCTCTGGGGGTAACACTGCTTTATCACCATTTCCAGATTCATCCTTGCCAATCACAACAAGTTGCCCATGCAGAGCTGGTTTAGTCTGCACCGCGTCGAGATTCTCTCCAACAATTCCATCCAAGCGATCTTCAACGCCACCGGCATCCGCGCCCCCTCGCGTTACTCCTACCGCTGCCCGCGCGTCAGCAGCCTGCAGCGGGGCGGCGCCCTCTTGCTGCCCAGCGACTCGGACGCTGTGACAGGCCTGTGGGAGGTCACTTTTGTTGATTTCCAGGTAATAAACCCAACGTATGCTCAATGCACCTGCGTGTTTGGTCCCAAAGAAACTCAATTTTTTGTTTAAAAGCACCTGAAACCAACATTGATGTTTAAGGGAAAGAGAAGTGGACACCTTGAAAATAATATTGGTGTTTTCTTTCCTTTTTCTTTTAAAGTATGAAATGGAACAGGAGAGAGAGTTTCCTCTGCCCGGGGCCCCACCTCCTACCAAGGGCTTGCTTTTGCATTCAGCTTTTTCCAGTCACTAGCAATTATCAGTGAGGAATGCCAGCCATCTCAGCCCTGGTGACACTCTGGAACCCGGTGACTGACACTTCCTGGGCGGAGAGGCCTTTCAGGGGAGAGGCACTGTGGGACAATTATTTTATTTCCTTCGGGGAGTGGAACAGTGATCCTATCAGGGCAGATAAGAAGTACATCTGTAGTGTGAGTGACAGCTTTGGCAGCTAGCATAGGAATGGAATCTTCAGCCAGGGAGTCAGAAATATCTCAGAGATCTTCTTGAAAGTATCTGGGGAAAGACATGGGGGTGTGAGAGGTTCCTTTTCACCACTAGGGTCTCAGGCTGAGAGACATTCTGCCCAGTTCCTCTATCCTGTTTACCTGTGAAAAAGCTTAGCTTGTTTTGCAAATTCACTGACATAACAGGCAGGCTTTGCATGTGCCTTTCTTGGGCACTTTCCAATCTTTTTAATATATGTGGACATCCACATACATGTGTATCTCCCCTGCTAGGCCAGGTGTGGTGCACTGGGAGGCAGTTTGGGTTGGGAAGGAGTTTGCATTTTGGAGTCAGACAGACCTGGTTTCAAATTACTTCTCAGCCATCTGAGCAAGTTACTTAGCCTCTCTCAATTTCTGACCTAACTCTAAGAATGTAAAAGACACTTGGTCTCATATATGTGGAAACACCCAGGATCGTGTCATGTGTGGATTAGCAACAACTATCACTTAAAAGTCCTCTCTCTGTATTGGCACTGTTGTAGTTATTTTATATAATCTTCAAAACTCATAAAGCTATAAGATAGATGTTATTATTCTTATTTTACAAATGAGGTGACTGAAGCTCTGATTATTACATAATTTTTCAAAGTGATATAACTGGTAAAAGGTAGAGGTAGAACTTGAATTCTAGATGGCTTAGTTCCAAGGATATTCTTTTATTTATATATGTATGTGTGTGTATATGTATACACATATATGTATGTGTACACACACATACATATATAAAATGTTTATAAATGTTGTTTATATATCACATATTGTATATGTGTCTCTACATGTATATACCTTGCTGTTTAAAAAAGAGAGTGTAGGCAGAAATGACAGTGAGGTGGTAGTAATGAAACTAAGGAATAATTCACATAAAATCCTGCCTAATTAGAACAGGGGAATTGATTGATTTATATATCTACTTTGTTCCAGAAATGACTTAAGGTGACTTATAGAAATATTACAAGAAAAATGACTTTAAAAACTTAGCAAACCACTTCACACCCATTAGAATGGCTGTTATTATAAATAACAACAAGGCCGGGCATGGTGGCTCATACCTGTAGTCTCAGTACTTTGGGAGGCTGAAGCACAAGGATTGCTTGAAGCCAAGAGTTGAAGACCAACATGGGGAGACCTCATCTCTACGAAAAAAAAAAACAACTAAAAGTTAAAGAAATTAGGTGTGGTGTGCACTTGTAGTCTTAGCTACTCAGGAGATTGAGGCAGGAGAATCACTTGAGTCCACGAGTTCAAGGTTGCAGTGACCTATGATTATACTACTGCACTCCAGCCTGGGCAACTGAGTGAGATACTGTTTCTAAAATTAACAACAACAACAAATAAACAGAAAATAATAAGAATTGGCAAGGATGTGTAGAAATTGGAACCCTTGTGCATTTCTAGTGGGAATGTAAAATGGTGCAAATGCTTTGGAACAAAGTATTGTGGCTCCCCCCCAAATTATTAATAAACAGAATTACCAAGTGATCCAGGAATTCTACTTCTGGGTAATAATCAAAAGAACTGAAAGCAGAGACTTGAGCAGATATTTATACATCTATGTTTATAGCAGCATTATTCACCATAGCTAAAAGGTGAAAACAACCCGAATGTCTGCTGACGGATGAATAGATCAACAAAATCTAGTATATACATACAATGGAATATTATTCAGCCTTAAAAATGAAGAAAATTTGGATACATTCTACCACATGAATAAACCTTGAAGACATTATACTAAGTGAAATAAGCCAGGTACAGAAGGATAAATATTGTATGATTCCACTTACACGAGGTACCCAGAGTAGTGAAGCTCACAGAGGAAGAAAGTAGAATAGCAGTTGCCAGAGGCTGAGGCCAGGGGGGAATGAGGGGTTAGTATTAATGGATACAGAGTTTCAGTTTTATAAGATGAAAAGTTTTCTGGAGAGGATGGTGGCAATGGACGCACGACAATGTGAATGTACTTAATGTGAATGTACTTAATAGTACCGAGCTGTACACCTAAAATGGTTAAGATGGCAAATTTTACGTTATGCACATTTTACAATTAAAAAAAAAACCCAAAATAATGGGCAAAGACATGAAGGTGAAGAAAAACAAAGAAAAGAAAAAAGATCAATCAGAAAAACAAATGAAAGAAAAAAGATCAATTAGAACCATGAGTGAGGTTGGTACACAAAACCACAAGACCATCTGTCTGTACTGGCTGGAGGGGGCACGGTAATTTGGCTGTGAAGCTTCGAGAGCAGCCAGCGTAAGAAAGAAATGCTCAGTCGCATGTTCACAGGGTCTCTAAGACTGCTGAAAATTTGCTCATGCTGCAGATATTCATCCTTTGTGTTGTGCAACACATGCATCCTCAACAGCATCTTTACAGTAACACAGCACTGGGTGTCAGAGGTGGGCCTTGTTAACATACCCTTCATGGAAACTGACGGCAGAATGCACGCTCAGTCCAGGGGAGACAAGGTAGTGGTGATGCTGGCTGAGGTGTGTGTAAAAATGGCCGCTTTCCGCATGCGTAGCTTTGTTGGTCTGGCTTATTCTAGCAGTAGAGTATAGAGTGATGTCACATGCATGGCAAACTCAGATGCCTTGGGTAAATGGTGAGGTGGCCAGCTGGGCACTGTGGCAAAGTATAGCTGGCATCACGAAGAACTTTTTTTTGTTTTCCTTTTGTCTGTTTATTTTGGAAAATTGTAAACCTACAGAAAAGTTGCAACGATAAGTACCTGTCTACTCTTCACCTAGATTTACTGATTTAAAAATTTTTTCATATCTTTAAAAATTGTTTTGAAAATTTCAATAGATTTAGGGGTACAAGAGGGTTTTGCTTACATGGATGGATTTTATAGTGGTGATGTCTGGATTTTTAGGGTACTTGTCACTGAATAGTGTACACTGCACCCGATAGGTAGTTTTTCTTCTCTCACTCCCCTTCCTACCTCCCCTCTTCTGAGTCTCTAATGTCCGTTTTACCACTCTGCATGCTCCTGCTTACCCATATCTTAGCTCCCACTTATACGTGAGAATGTGAGGTATTTGGTTTTCCATTCTTGAATTGCTTCACTTAGGATAATGGCCCCCGGTTATATCCAAGTCACTGCAAAAGACATTATTTCATTTTTTTTAATGGCTGAATAGTACTCCATGGTATATATATATACCACATTTTCTTTATCCACTCCTCAATTGATGGACACTTAGGTTGATTCCATATCTTTGCAATTGTGAATTGTGTTGTGATAAACATACAATTGCAGGTGTCTTTTTGATATCATGATTTCTTAGGGTGGATACTTAGTAGTAGGATTGCTGGATCGAATGGTGGATCTACTTTTAGTTCTTGGAGAAATGTTCATACTATTTTTTATAGATGATGTGCCAATTAATTTACATTCCCACCTACAGTGTATAAACATTTCCTTTTTACTGCACCCATGCTACCACCTATTGTTTTTTCACTTTTTTAATAATGGCTGTTTTGACTGGGGTAAGGTGCTATCTCATTGTGGTTTTAATTTGCATTTCCCTGATGATTAGTGGTGATGTTGAACATTTTTTCATGTTTCTTGGCTGTTTGTATCTCTTGAAAAATGTCTGGTCATGTCTTTTGCCCACTTTTTAATGGGGTAAATTGTTTTTTTGATTTGTTTCTTGTAGATTCTGGATACTACTAGTCCTTTGTCAGATACATAGTTTGCAAATATTTTTTTGCCATTCTGTAGGTTGTCTGTTTACTTTGTTGATTGTTTCTTTTGCTCTGCAGAAGCGTTTTAGCTTAATTAAGTCCCATTATTTATTTTTGTTTTTGTTGCATTAGCTATTAGAGTCTTAGTCATGAATTTTTTGCCCAGGCCAATATCCAAAAGAGTTTTCTCTAGTTTTTTTTTTTTTTTTTCATTTTTTTTTATTTCCGCATATTATGGGGGTACAGATTTTAAGGTTTCAATAAATGCCCTTTTCCCCCTCCCCCTACAAGTCTGATTCTCCAGCATGACCATCCAACAGATGGTGCACATGTCACTCATTATGTATGTATATACCCGCCCCCCTCCCCAATACCCTGTTACTGTAGTACCTATGTGTCCACATTATTATTTTGATGGTGTCATATTTTCCATTTAAGTCTTTAATCTATCTTGAGTTAATTTTTGTATATGCTGAGAAATAGGGATCTAATTTCATTCTTCTGCATGTGGCTATGTGGTTAGAGGAACATTTTTTTAATTCAACACCAGCTAATTTTTGCTTTGTAGGAATGCAGGGCCAGTGTTACTGGATCTTCTGGCTTTTCAATAGAAGCTAGAAATCTGGATTCTTATGGGAAATTTTTAGGACGTTTAGGACACTGGGCCAAACATAACTCACCCGTTGGTTCCAAGGATACTTATATATATAAGACAGAGCATATTTGTAACCTCTGGTTTAGGAAATGGATGTACAATATATCCTTCAGGCATTCTCCACACTTACTATTCCCACCCAAGTATTGCTAAGAATTCAGTGGCAGTCAGTCTGAGAACATTCTCTTTGTCTGGAGTTACAGAATCAAGTGAGCTCACCTTTTGTCCTTGAGGAGCTCGTCTTTTCAGGCACTAGTGTGAAGAGGAGGCCACCTGCCTCTCCATAGGCTGAGGCGTGCCACGTAAAAATGGCCACTTTCCACATATGTAGCTTTGCTGGTCTGGCTTATTCTAGCAGTTAAGAGATAGAGTGATGCCACATGCATGGCCAAGAGGCAGGCCAAGGGTCCTGGAAGCCAGAACAAGAGTCCCTTTTGGAAGCTGCTTTGGGTTCAATCTAGAGTACAGACAATTGGGTGAGCAAGGGCCCTAATATCTCTGGCATGGTGGGTAGCCACAATAATTTTAGCATAAGAAAATGTTAAAATGCTCACTTAAGCCATAAAAAGTGAATTTTCAGCAAAGCACTTGTGGATAATTCAATTTTCTGATGTACTCTTTAGAAACTAAGTGGGTGACTGAATGACGTGATGCTGTGTAAGGAAGGTGTCATACTTTTAAAGCCAACTAAATGGGGGGCTGCCTTCCCCAAAGGATGGCTCTCATTTTAAAGTCATTACTCTGTATTCCTGTTTCACCGTGACAGCATTAGATATCAGGGCGAGTTGTCAATTTGGACCTCTGCTAGTTTCAAGTAATTAAACCATTTCATTTGCACATATGAGAAAGCTTTTCTTTCCATCATCTGGGCAAGATGCAAGGAAGGTCCAGTCTATAGCTCTTCCAAAATAATGCCAAGTCTGTGTGGTGCAGTAAATAAAGAGGGAGAGATAGAGTTGGGAGGAAGAAGAGACAAAACAAACCAGGAGCTATGGACTCATAAGCCAAGTCTGAGTGAAGCCAGACTGCCCAGGTTTGAATTGTACCTTCACATCACTTATAGTTGTGTGGCTCTGGGCAAGTTACTTAATTCTTCTGTGCCTCAGTTTCCTTATCCATACAATAGGGATAAAATAGCAACGTACTCACAGACTCTCGTGCATACTAAATGAATTAAGGCAGTGTCTGATACATAAAAAACTTTCCATAAGTGTTAGCTTTTATTATTATCCTTTATGTTTTGCCTCATTGGGAATCATGATTTCCTCCCTTAAAAGACTCTTCCGGTCTAATTCCTGTCAACAGAATAAAAGGCAGTGGAACTGAGACTTAAAATCTTTGTGAAACCTATACTAACACTTATAACATTTTTGAGTGTGCTTTGAATTTTAGAGGCACCACAGCAGTTGTGGTTTTATATGAACTAGAATATTTCTAAGGATCAGATGAAACGAGGTTTTATTTCAGAGCCTTGAATTTCATGAGCCTCTCAATTAGGACAACATCCCGGAGTTTCTGCATCAGGCCTGATTTCAGATTAAGTTTCACTGTCCCCATAAGCACAGTCACATTTGTCAGATCATATGTGTAAATTATTCAGCAAATGTGGTGACAGTACATTAATTTTGGCTAATTAGGGGCCCAGAACTGGCACCACCACTGGGGAGTAAGTAAGTTGCAGGAGGGGAGGAATGTACCCTTCTTCAGCTCTCGCCTTTCGCCTGCAGATCCAAGGCTTTGCCATCAAGGGGGGACAGTTCGCCAAGGCCCGAGACTGTGCCTCTTCCTTCTCGCCAGCCGTGCTGATCGGCCTGGCCACGTCGCTGATCCTGTTGCTGGTGCTGGCCTACGCCCTGCACATGCTCATCTACCTGCGCTATCTGGACCGGCACTACGAGTTCGTGGCGTCGCCTGTCCACTTCCCGCAGCTGAGAGCTCGAGACGCGGCCGAAGAGAAGGAGCTGCTGAGGGGCCAGGGCGCCGAGGGCTTCGAGCTCAGAAGCCAGCAGATCAGCAAGATTTACGTGTAAGGGCGCAGCCTCTCTCTCCCCAGCGACGAAAGTTGTTTGTGTTGTGTGCTGTTTGATTGTCAATTAAAGATTTCCACCAAACAGATTGATTTTTAAAAAAAGGAAATTTGTAACATTTCGAAGCATCCACTGGACCACTCAGTCTTGGCACAATGAAAAAGGTAGCTCAGGGATCTCAAAGATTATATATATATATATATATATATATATATATATATATATATATAACTATTCGTTGCCCCCAAACAAACTTGAATGCAAAGGGCTTTTTTGAGAGAGGGAATGAGAGAGACAGAGAGAGAGAGAGACAGAGAGAGAGAGAGAGAGAGAGATGCAATATACAAGGGGAAAAACACAGTTGGTCCTTCTAGGTGTGGTGCTAGGCTAGCTCTTTCTAATTTTGCTAGGTGGCTTACAGAAAGAAAATAATAGCTCAAGATTTTAAATTCATATCTCAAGGCATATTCTGGGGAGTTTCTATGAGTGATCTAATACCATCGTCCTGGTATTGCAGTATTTCCAGGAAGGGTTAGGGTTAGGGTTAGGTGGGGGATCTCTTACGTCTTGTCAAAGGACCGATATAGTTGAAAATCAGACACAGGTCTAATCCTGCAAATTGCTAACTTGCACTACAGGTGAAATTCACTGCCTTCCCAGGTGAACATGAGAATATATGAACATGAGAATATGATTATATTCTCTTATATGAATATGAGAATATTGATTACAAAATAAATGAAACCTGAGACTAGGCATGGTAACTTCTGGGAGGACTTAGACAACTTTAAGAATATAGAGGTCCCAAATTCCACTTAGTTTTTCTTGTTAGCAGAAGCAACCGCTGTGAGATGAAGCTATTCCTGCCTTTGCTTCATGACCGTGTGATGACCTCATCAGAAGTAGTTATCTTGCCAGGGGATGCCAATTTTCCTGATTGCTTTTTGGCAACTAGAGGCACATTCTAGCATATGCCAAGGAACCAATTGCAAAGTCAAGTCTGGAGGAATAAAATGGCAAAAGTAAAATAAAAATTTCAAAAAAAAAATTTGCTGACTTATGCAATAAAATATTTGGGAGAATATATGTGGGGATGGATTCTGGAGGTGCTAGCCCAAGGAGTAAGGTGAATAATTTAATATTAGGCTGAATTTTCTGATATGGGTTCTCTTATCAGAGATTTTGGATTAAATGTGCAGGTTTGAGCACCTGGGAGTGTTTCTAACAGTTTGCTTGGGCATACAATAAATGAAGTAGAGAGCTCAGAAATTCCTTGGTATTATATAGAGAAAGAAATGTGATAACTTAGAGAATTGGGATGTAGGAATGGATTTATCATATGTGAACTGCTCTTCCTCCCCATAACTATTTTCCTCTGTGAAGGCCCAGAGGATACTCCCTTTGTCACAGCACTAAGAAATTAACAGGGGACACAACATCAGCACTTTTGCAAAGTGCTCTAGTGGTTGTCCTCTGTAGGCTGTGGATGAAGGCAGGAGATGTTACCCTTGAAACAGAATCCTGGTCTCCATAGGGACACTGAGATCACTGGGTGGCAGAGCTCAAGTAGCAGCACAGGAACCTTGAAAGGCTGAAGGGCAGAGTGGTCATCAGATTAGGTTATATTGGTTAATGGTAAGTTGATCTATGACATATGTGGTGGACAGTCCACTGAAGTACTCAGATCTATATAATAATAATGATTTAATCTAGATCTGGTATAAAAATCGTTACTTGAGCCATAATAATGGATTCTTAGAGCTGACTCCGTTCATAACTCAGGTGCCTTGAATGAAGAAGATGCCTCTTAAGAAAGTGTCCTTTGTCTTTATGTCAAATGTTGAGCATGATCACGAACAATTGTGTGTTTTTCCATCAGATCTCTATCTTTCTGCATCACTTCTGATATATTCTGATCTTCAGGTAAAGAACCTACACTGTGCCTATGGATGCCTTTACTATATACCAGACAGATATGTGATTATTGTTCTGTAATTGCTAGTGCTACAGAAGCATAGCCCAAGAGATATCTGTCTCCCTGGGATGTCTGGAACAAAATGGCAAGAAAATAATGTTTGATATGAGTAGGAGTTAACCAGGCAGGCAAGTGGAGGAGGGCAAATGTGGCAGAAGGAAACACATATGCCTATGCAAAGACTGAACTTTGTCACGTATGAAGAACCATGAATATGTGTATATGGGTACACACAGAGGAAGTATTTGGAGGAGTGAAGAAGGAGAAGCTGGAAATGAAGAGAGAAATCACATCACTGTACTCTCCTAAGTACTAGAATCTTGACTTAAGGTAATAGACAGGCTCTTGAGAGGGTTTTGAAGGATTTAGAGCATGGTATGAAAGTGTGAATACAATAGAGATGGAAGTACCAATTAGGAGATTATTGCAATAGTTTAGGCAAAAAGTAATAGGACCTAAACAAAGACAGTGGATTAGGAGATAGGAGCTGGGAAGGTATTAGGTTAGCGACCAATTGGCAAGTCACAGTGACTGCTAGGTATGTGATGTGGAAGGTTGCAAGGATGGTGGGCCTATCTCTGCAATCAGACAACAGATGAGCATGAGAGTTGGAGGGCACTGTAGGCAGGTCCTAGAGTAGAGGTCCAAGCAGGCAGTTGGATGTATGGATCTGTGGCAAAATAGAGAGATCTGTACCAGAGATAGAAATTTAGAAATGTAGCAGATGTTATAAGTGTCCCATGTGTATTCCTTTGGCCCTTAGCATTTCAGTGCATTCAGGCCCATGTTTTCATTGCCCGTAACTGTCTTCAGGGGCCTTCCCTACCTGAGTTCATGGCAGGCTGGAAGTGCTGAGGAATTCATGCTCCCTGGGAAGAGCCCTCAACCAATGACTCTTAGAAACTGTGTATAAATAGCCTGGCTCATCTGCCCCTTCCCTGGGCTCACTCTAAAGGCTGCTTTTACAGTTTCCTGGAGCTCCCAAGCAGGACCAAGTGCTTTTGCTCTTTATGGAATCTTGCTTATTAATGTTTACTTTGTTGGCTCCCTTCTCTTCCCTATCTCACTTCCTTACTCTCCTACATGGTGTTTCCTGGCATCACCTGCAAAATAAATGACTTGCATTTAAAACCCAGTCTCAGGATCTGCTTCTGAGGAAACCCAACCTAAGACAAGTAGTAATGGACATATGGGAAAAGTCAAAAACTAGGTGGTAGCGGTGATGGAGAAATGAATGAGATCACCCAAGAAGAAAGGATAGGCTGATAATAGACCTCAGTAACAATCATTTATGGAGCAGGATGGGAAAGATGAATCTGTAAAAGGGCTAGAGTAGGAGCAATCAGAGAGGAAGAAGGCAACCCAAGGAATACCAGTGTCCCAGAAATCAAAGGGGGGAAAAAGACTTTCAACATGAAGGGAGTAGTCAACCGTGTCCAGTGCTGGAGAGAGATCAAATAAGAAAAGAACTGAGAAGTGTTTATTGTTCATTGCATTCCTTCCCAGTAGGAAGTCATTGATGAACATCAATCACACTGTATAGAAAAGAGGGGGTAGAGCTCACTCAGGGTATTTATTCCCCTGGTTCTCTCCCGGAGGGAATACCTTGGACTGGTTCTATCCTTTCTCTGAAATTTGCTGTGTACCTTTCAAAACAGCCTCCTCCACACAACGTGCTTCTCCTGGGTTTCAGTAACTACTTCCCTTGTCACTTTGGACTCAGAGATGCAAACTCCATTACTACTAGCCCCAGGTCACTCCACAGTCCCTTGTGTTCTCCTATGCCCTGCTGGAACCTTTATAAATGGTCCCTTTTAAAATAAACTCTCCTTAAATTATCCTAATTTGAGGGTACCATCTGTTTCCTATTGGAAACAGACTTATATGGAGGTTTAGCCAAACTATTAATAAAATTTATATGTTGCTTTGTTTGTTTTATATCTAGCAGTTTTACAGTTTTTCAGAAAAGATTTAAGGCAACCATTTTAATAAGATTTTAATAAGAGGGAAGAAATGACCATATTATAGGGGAAGGCAGTGGTGCTGAGATTTTTGTTGTTTGTTTTGCTTGGGGCAATAGTATGAACAATGATGTTCACATGTGTAATACAATCCCATAGAAATGCCTACACATTGTTACCCTGGACCACAGTTTTCAGGGATCTACAGTGCTATCTTCCTTCGAGAGCTCTGCTGCATACATAAATGGCTATGGGTAGCTGAGACAGGCTGCAGGCTACAGAGAATTCCCAGGTAGCAAACTGGGGCTTTCTTGCTCAAAAAAGCATAGCAGAATGTGAGAGCAATATTAGCAGCTCTGGAAGACTAATTTCTGTAAACAGCATAAAAAATCATTGCGAACAAGTTGCATGGGCACCCCACCAAGTTGATCGCCTCTGCAATTGGAAGCCCCTGGGGTAGGAGGAAAGAACCAGGGTATAGGGAAAGGTTAAAAAAATATATACCAGGGTGGGGGAGAAAATTGGTGGAGCTTGGTATTCAGAGAAACCATAGTGATTCAGGAGTCCCTTCTGGGGCAGTGGGAGAAAGAAGCCTCTTACTCTTTCTCCATGGAGACACAGAGAAAGGACACAACCTTCTAGGCAGAACATTGGACAGCTGTCCCTTCTGTCTCTAACCCTGTCCTCACACCTCAAGGATGGGAAGATAATTAGTAAGATAAGTCAACTTAGCTTTTCTATGGGACTCGTTGAGACAACCTGCTCCTATTTCAGATTTCTGTTTGGATGATACAACTTGCAATGTTTGTTACATGATACTTCTGGCTCCTGAGATCAACAACATTTTATAAGAACCAAATACTACTAAAGCAAAATCTCTAGTTCCAAAGAAATGGAATTTCAAATGTGGTTTAGACCTTCTGATACTTTTATTGAGGGAAAATGTAGGTGGTCAAATTTAGTGGTTATAAGTTATTATTTTGCAACATATACAACTCTGACTCTGGCTGTCTAAATGTCCATGAATCCTCTGGCCTTCTGGGCTCAACGTTTAGTTTACTTTCTTTACAAAGTGGCTAGAGTCCCTTCACATGAGAAATAAGTCTACTCCCCAGGAGAGCTGAAAATGCTGCAAGGGGTGGAGTGACTCACACTCTTCATGCGTCTTTTAAATCTGATTT